GTAATTTGCATACATATAGAAGTAGGTTTGTAAGACAAGGATACATAAATTAATAAGGAATGGCTAATTAAATCACGTGTGATTTTACATTAATGGTCAACAAAAGATGTATAGGAAGTTTGGTTCGTGACCTCAGGTTGCAGCCAAAGTAACGTGAATTACATGTGGTTTTATACGAGATCTTATGGTAAAATCACATGTGATTTTACCATTTCTTATATTTTTATTTAGGTATCATTCTCGTATAAACTCGACTCTACACACACACACACACATATATAGGGTTGGGTTTCGTGAGACCACGTTTTTACACTTGAAACTTCATAGCAAAATATTGTGAAAGTAAAAAAATATGAATCTTCACTAGTAAAAATATTGTGAAAGTTACGTTTACAATGTTTTACTGTGAAACTTCAAGTGTAAAAAGGTGGTATCATGGGTCTCATGAAAATAATTTGGTTTCACTTACATATATATATAGAGAGGTTGGTTATTATACAACCCTTGACATTTGTGCAACCAATACAACTCAATCTCAACCGTCCATTTCATTTGATGAATATGTTATTTCATAGAAGTTTTGATTGTTTTCTAATATAAAATATTAATCATAATTAATGAACTCTATTCATATTCCATAAATATTCAAATCATAATAAATGAACTCCCATCATTTCTATAAATATCTCAATTAATTGGGTTGCAATGGTTGTACAAATCCACAAGGTTGTAAAAGAAATATACCCTATATATATATATATATATATATATATATGTGTGTCTAATTAAGTGCTCCCACCCAAAGCAATCAAAAACATTAAAGGTTGATCTCATGGGCAAGCAATGAACATTAATGGTCACTTTAACTCTTTGATTTGATTATAGAAGTTAATTAAGAGCGGGCACTTTTATGCTTTAATTAGCGACAGACGATACCTAATTACTACTCCAATCATTCTTTATCATATTTTGTGATACGGAAATTAACATAATCCATTACAACATCAACATCATATCATATCATCAAGATTTCTATTTAAATAATTTGTAAGATTTTGTTTCCAATTATATAATATAAGATTCATATTCACGTATTAATCCATTCAATTTCTATTTGTTTAGTTTATACAAATAACTATAAATTCTATTGCTAGAATTATTTACTCTAATATATCAAGTGGTTTTTGTAAGTTGATAAATAAAATACATAGTCTACTATATATATATATATATATATATATATATATATAGCTCAATATTGTGATACTCGAGTTCGTTTACTGCTTATTTTGATCGGTATAATTAAAACTTAAACAAATTTATATATGTGAACATGAATAAAAATATGTAAAAGTGTATGTACGTGACGAAAAGTGAAAATGAAGGTTTATACTACAAGTTCTAATTATACTACATTTTATAATAAGATAGCACGAAATAAAACACTTAGACTTGTATAAATGACAATAGCTCATAGGATCGACAGTCTAAGATTTTTTGCACTTTAATCTCACAATATAAAGGGATGATCAAACAAGAATGATGTCTATTTAAAAGATTACGAGAATAATCTTGGGTCAATTTTATTAAATAATTAATTCTAAAAATAAATAAATAAGGGTATAAAAGTAATTTAGGTATTTAAGATTCTATTTTTACCATATTTATAATTTTAATATGATTTAATTTTTTATTTAAAATATATTTTTTTATTTAATACATTTAAAAAGGGCGTATTTAGTTTTTTATTTAAAGAATTCATTTTTTTTATTTAAAACAATATTCCAAAAATTACAATTGTCGTCAAAAGTTATACATGATTCACGATTAATAATTTTTTTTTCTTTTCTTAATCATATATATTTTAAAAATTACAGTTTTTGTCAAAATAATATGTGATTCATAATTTTTTAATTTTTTCAAATTGTTTTCCTAATTATATGTGATTTTCTAATCACATGCGATTTTAAAATTTGAAAAACAATGATTCACATTGAAAGATAAAAAAGAAAAATAATGAAAAAACAGAATCAAATGTGATGTGTAGCAAAACACATTTAAAATATATAGACTTGGGATCACATCAGACCAACATGTTTTCGTGAGACCCGTGAGACCACGTCTTTAAACTTGAAACTTCACAGTAAAACACTGTGAAGGTAACCTTCACAGTGTTTTTGATGCGAAGGTAACCTTCACAGTGTTTTTGATGCGAAGGTAACCTTCACAGTATTTTTTTGCTGTGAAGGTTCGAATTTTTTTTACCTTTAGCCTTTTGCTGTAAAGTTTCAAGTATAAAAAAATTGTCTCACGGATCTCACGAAAACAGACTGGTCTCACGTGAACCCAACCCAAAATGTATAAGATCACATATATTTCAAAATGTAATTCATAATTTATGTAATATTGTGGATAACTTATATTTCTTTTCTTTTTTTACCATCATCAATGTCGTTTATGATACACTGACGAAAATTAACGATTTTTTTAGGAAAAAAACGTCGATTAATTGTGGATATCACATATGATTTTTGATGAAAATTATAAAAAATTCTTAAATAAACTATTTTAACAAAATGAATATTTTAAATAAAAAACTAAATCACACTATTGTTGTAAAAAATAATAAATAAAAAAAATAATCCTGCTTAAATCATGG